TTGAAGGTGGGAGGACGAGGACTAGTTTTCAGGGCTCGTCGAATGTAGAATTCAGCTAAGTCAAGGCTTGGCATTATCCGATCGAGGTAGAATGTCTTTATTCGAACGGCTGACTGCTTGAATCGAGGTGTCTCTGAAATTGGTGACATATCATAGCGCGCAACCATTTCTGGACCTCAACGGTGGGTCGTACATACATACATACTCAAATGCGTAGCACGTAACACCAAATACATAACATACCCATAGTACATACACAAAGAGCAGAAAAGGGTATCACAGCCTTGTTCGCTGTGAATGAAGGGGCGTGTCAGCGAGGCCTGGGTTCGTGCGCCGCCAGTCCAATCTCCAGCAGTTGTTGAAGCAGTGGAATGATACGAAATGTATGATAGAGTCTTGTTGCTTGCCGAAGAAAATGAGCTGGCGCCGCGTCAAACCCGTTCCCCTTATTACCTGAAGCGCGCACATTCCTACTCTGATCAACGCCACTGAAAACTAAGAACGGGTGACAGAAACTCAAGGCAGTTGCTTCATATCAGACCTGTTTTCACGCTGCGTTATGTTCCATGTTTCATGTCACTGGAATGAAGCGGAGCGCTACACTCTAGTGGTGGAATCTAACCATAAAAGCGCGTTCAGACTTCGCGATCACTCGACTGGATAAGGGTACTGTCATTCGGTGACTACCGTGACAACACCATTCAATTAGGCTGCGTTCATGCACTGCTCCGTTTCTCTTCAATGTTTCTGTAAATGCATGCCTGGCGTTTTCTGGAACATTATGGAACCTGTGTTACTTCTTGAAGTGTTGTGTTTTGTTATAGTACTTTTTCTTCAGTCGTATTCTTTACGGCGGTTGACCGATTGGCGGTGGGGCGCGATCACTCTACTGGTCGCGCTCCACTGCCAATCGGTCACTCTAATCGCGCGATCCAGTCGCTCGATTGCGAAGTCTGAACGCACTCCAAGGTTGGACATTCGTTAAGAGGCACATTTTGCGGCAGTCGATGACAACGTCGTGGATAGCGGGGTTGAAGAGAACCGCCGAAAACGGCTCAAATAAGGCCCTACTTTTTCCAAGCGAAGCTTTGAGATTTCCTTGTTGAGATT